CCCAGCCTCTCCCCCCAAACAGTGACATCCCACCTCCCATGGCTGCTCCCTACCCTCGGGGAACAAGGGTTCCCCACCTCCACCCTGAAACCCCCGGGCTGTGATTCAGGGCTGAGACCCCTTGTTGCATCCCCTACCGCTGCTGACATCCCTGCTGTGCAGCAGGGCTCTCCTTCCCCTGGGGAAGGTGGTTGAGGGGTCATTCCCAGGATGCTCCTGAGGAGCACTCAGGGCTTTGGGACACACCGGTAGAGGTGGGAAGCACAGCAAGGATGGCAGCCATGCACACTCAACCCAGCCCTCCTGCAGCTGCCCAGCCCCAGGAGACTATGGTCTCGTTGTTTTTAAGACTGAGCCTTTCAGAAAAGCAAGGACAGACAGAAAACATTTTTGTGGCATAACGTCAGGAGAATAGCATGCAAATTCAAAGGAAGAGCCGTGCCCGGGATGGCCCTCTACCCCAAACAGCCAACCTGCAAAACCCTTTGTGAAGCATCCCTCAGCTCAGCAGACTTTGAGAGCTCCCGGTGACCTCTGAGTGGTGCAGCAGGGTGAAATCTCTTCTGCCAGCAGCACGGTCCTGACCCCTGAGCACTCTCACCGCCCCTCCTGTGAGAAGAAATGACTTTCCTTTGGAGCTAGGACCCCCAGGGAAACCCCACCATCCCATCCGCGGGGCTCTTCAGCTACCTATAGCGCTCTCCTGCTATCCTCCGGGATGGCTCCTCGCTGGCAGCCTGTGCAAAGGCAGAGGCACCCAAGGAAGAAGGATTACCCGTCGCAGTCCAGGGGCTGCAGAAGAAGAGGAGTGAGTGCCTTTCTTCCCGATGTCTGCCAAGCAGGAGGACCCCGCCGCCCAAGCACGCTTACTCTTGCCCACCACGCATCGGGCTGTTACTCATCCTGAGCGTCCAGGGTAGCCACTCCCTCTAATCGCTCCTCCTCGGAACATGCAATTTGCCCGAGGGCTGGAGTCTGCTGTGAAAGAAGACACCCTTCCTACCTGGGCTTGCTTGGGAATATTTTTGGGGCACTACAGAAGACTTGAAAGCTGCAACAAATGGGTTATTTCCACTTGATGTGGCACAGCATCACTGGATGTCACCTGTGACCTGCATGGACTGGAGGATGTACAGCCTCTGGACCCCTCTCCACATGCACTGGGGCTGGCTTTGGTACATGGGGCTGGTGTTGGTGTTGGTGCACAGGACTGGTGCTGGGGCATGGGGCATTTTCTTGCTAACTCATCTGCCTCCTGCCAAAAGGAGACCTGTGCCTGCTGCAGCCTGCAGCCGAGGGGACACCCGGACTGTGTCGGCACCCCCAGTCAGGCGGAGGGCTGCAGAAGGGGTTTATGTTGGGCAGCTGAAGGCTCAGCCCAGTAGCTGGGCATGAACCAAACAGGGGCTGCAGCATGCAGTACGTGTCCAGTATCAGCTCGGGGGGGGGATGGTGTGGGTACATGGGACTGGCTTTGGCGCACAGGGCTAGCAGTGGTGCATGGGGCCGGTGTTAAGGATCAGGGTGCTGCAGGCTGTATGCGGCACAGTGGGGTGCATGGGGCCAGGCTAGCTCATTCCAGCTGGGGATGAAGCTACCTTTTGCTCTCATCAGCCATGGGGTGCAGTTTTGGTGGATGTGTCTTTTCTTACTGAGCGTTAAGGATGCCCATCTGAACTACAGTGAGAGGTGACTGTCTGCTTGGTGTCTTTGCCTACCCAATTTTCAGTTACCTCCATCTGGTCGATTATCGCTGTGTGCATTTGCCACAGCCCTCATTAGGTATTTTTTGCCCATATTGCACTTGTCCAGCAGACTTCACCTCTTCCCATCAGGCAATGCCTTTGGCCAGCTGCTGCTTGGCAGCTGAGGACCTCCCTGCAGGGATGGAGAGGTGTGGTGCAGGCTGTCGGTGCAGTTTTTGGCTGTGTTGCTGCTCCTTGCCGATGTGCCCAAGAGCTGGCATGCTGCAGCAACCCAGTGCTGGCTTCACATGTTGCAGACTCCTGTCACCTCTCCTGGTGTTGATACCTGCCAGGTCTGGCCAAGCTGCGATGACTGAAATGCAAACATGCATTCTTTGGAAAGTCTAAATAATTCCACCTCGATTTGAAGGTGTAGTGACTAGTCTTTACTAAAGACTAGCTGGAGGCAGTGCCAGAAGCCCTTCCATCCTGGCTCACCCTCGCATGAGCAGTGACTCAGACCAGAGTCTGATTTTTCTTTTGCAGGGAGAGGAGGAAAGGTGGAAAACCAGGATCAAATACGCTAAGACAAGAAATCACACCCCCTTCCTCCCAGCATATATTAACGCCAACACAATCTGCTTTCCTTTTGGGGACAGGACATCAGACAGGCTCCTGGTAGAGCTCTTGCCACTTCTCATCCTTGCATCAAGTCTGAGGCCATATTACTTCCCCTATTACTGGAGTCTGATGGAGAGAGAGCAGAGCAGGATCTGAGCCTTCAGCAAGGCGTTCCCAGAGATTTTCAACATGACACAGGTCTTGCTGTGGGATGGACAGTCTCCAGAGAAGATCCAGCACACCTGGTGAGGCTTTGTCCACCACTGGGATGCAGATGTGCCCCCCACCCCATCCCC